AGCCAACGTATGGTATTTGCCGCATTTTTTGGTTGTAAGAATGGATAAATCGACAACAAAAGTACGAATCGTATTTGGTTGTGCCGCTAAATGTCATGGCACTTCCCTAAATGAGATGATCTATCCTGGGAAGGAGTTGCGCAAGATCTTTTCAAAGTTCTTGTCCGTTTCCGTCGAAACCCTGTTGGCATCGTCTGCGACATCAAAGAAATGTATCTCCGGCGGAAAACGAAAACGAAAAACGGCTTGACTTGACTTGTAATCCGTTTTCCAAATTCCATACGAGAACAAAAAGCGAAAAGTGAGGTCCAACCTGGTTTTTTTCACAGCGCAGAGAAAAACGAAAAACAAAAAACAAAAAACGAAAACGAAATTTGATTTTCATTTCCCTACGCAATTGAAAATTGGTTGGCACTAAGGTAGACACATTCTTTTGGTGCAGCAGTCTATATCCGCTGCGGATGCGATAACGATAATGTAACCAGTCGCCTGGCTGCAGCAAAGAGTAAAGTGGCGCCACTGAACCCGATGACAGTACCCTAACTGGAACTCATGCGTTTAACACAGTCGTTGCTGACGGCTCTAGAAAGACCAATGCAGAGCGTTACGTTTTACTCTGACGGTACAGATGTTCACTGAACCGTCGCAGTGACAGCATGTCTCTACCAAAGAGAATCAGCCGATTTGTGCTCAAGTAAGGTCACACCTTCAGAGTTGGCCAAATGTTCCTTGTTGTAGAATGGTCCTGACTGGCTGACAGATGATTTCAGTTAGTGGTCATAGATGAAAGTTACGGATAGACCTACTGAAATGCCAGAGACGAGAAACTCGAAGAGGAAACAATAAATTAGTGCTTATGCGACTCTCGTGACGTGTAATCTTCATAAAGGAACCGCACCGAAACACACTAGAAGAGTGGAGACTAGATCCGAAACGGTCTTCCAGTTGTACGCGTTTGGTGCGAGTACACGCGATAGTGAGAAGACTACTATAAAACATGCGCAACAGAGACAGCAAGAATGAGAGTATGGAACTGTTGCCCGAAGAAATAAAGGATGCTGAAGGAGAAGTAGAGCACTTTGCACAACGCAAAATTTTTCGTGACGAGTACACAGCTTTGAGCTCGGGGAAGCCGATACCAAAGAAAAGCCAGTTGATAAAGCTTAACCCGTGCATCTACGACGATGGCGTTATCTGCAGTTATCGTCGATTAAAGTTCGCAGGTTTTCTTTCATGTGAGACCAAATTTCCAGTCATTCTGCCTCGTAGACACTGGGTGACGAATCTTGTTGTGAAGCATTATCATGAGAGAGGAAATCATGCCGCTGAAGTAAACTTCCCTCTTTTGCCAGTCGAGTGAGAGATTTTGGATCATCGCCGCAAGCGATGAGATTTGCGAGTGGGATCATGAATGTAACAAAAGAAAGAGAAGACGAAAAAAGCCAGCTTGTCAGATCATGGCCCCATTCTCGCAAATGAGGCTCCGTTTCAGCTTCAAAACCTTCGCCCAAACAGCCGTAGATTTTGCCGGTCCTTTCTATACTGTTGAAGGACGCGGAAAACCACAACAGAAAAAGTGGCTGTGCCTTTTTACATGCTTGGAAACAAGGGCAGTGCATCTAGAGATAGCCTAGAACTGGATACCGACATGTTCTGAGACGCCTTCGCCCGTTTTATCAGTAGTCGCGGAGTTCCTAAAGAAGTGACAAGCGTCAGATGCACAAATTTCATGGGCGCAGTGGGCGAGTTAAAGAAACTAGTCAGTCAGTTAGAACAAAAACATTTTTATAGCAAGACAGTCGAACTTGGAGTGACATAGAGATCCAATTTACCAGCTGCCCCACATTTTGGAGGAGCCCATGAAGTAATGGTGAAAGCTGCTAAGAAAGCCACTCACGCCGTTGTGGGAGAACAGGACATGAACGACGCGGTGCTGATCACCTGTGTCGCAGGGGTGGAGTCCCTTCTTAATTCCCCTCCGTTTACTTATCAGAGTTCAGATCCACAAGACGATGTTCCATTGACACCTAACCATTTCTTGCACGGCCGAATGGGGGAAGTTCGCTCCTGAGGCCGTTGAAACCACTACTTTGCATCCGTGTCAACGATAGCAAAAGGTTCAAGACATTATTTCATGAGTGTGTAGGAGATGGCTCAAGGAATTTTTTCCAGCCCTTAACAGTAGACCAAAGTGGACTCAAAATGCCGAGACCTAAAAGTTGAGGATGTGGTTCTTGTGATTCAGCTTGATAATCCAAGATGACGCAGGCCATTAGAACGGATTGTTGAAGTGTATCCTAGACGAGATGGCCACACCCGTGTAGCTAAACTTGCGTGTGGTGACAAGGCTGTTGTGAGACCGATAAACAAACTGGTTCTGCTTTGAATTAGTTGTTAATTACTTAATTAGAAACAAATTAGGACTACCTCCCAGTGCGGGGAGGGGAAAATTTTACGAAGACGTTACCGAACTTGTGCGCACGTGACTCGCGCGCGCGTGCTTTGAGGTTTTAAGTTAAAATGTCGTTAGCAAATAACGCAGACCTTTTATTTTTGACGTGTGCAAGTTTCTTAGAGAGGAGTCGAAAGTTTTGAGTTTTGGAGTCGCAATTTGTTTGGCGGTCGTTGGTGTTTACCGTGAGTTACCATTTATCGTGTTACCAATAAACGTGTTTGTTTGATTTCCGTTTCGCTTCCGAACACTTTAACACCAAGTATGCTACGCAAGCTTTATTATTTCGATGATTGGCTAGCTCCTTACTTTGCTAAAATTTTCTCAGTTACTATTTCAAAAGCAAGGGAAACATAGATCGAGAAAACAGAGGGAAAATGCTGAAGGCTAATTGGTTGTATCGTTTTTGAACGTATTGAAGCCCTATTAAAATTCAAGGAAAAAACTTTTGAAATAGCTTCTCGATCGCGCCGGAAAAATAGAGAAAAATTCAAATGTTCACGAATTTTTCACCTCTCGTGTGATGACAACTTTCTTGTTACGACTTGTTATTGCCATGGTGATTTGCTTCTTAAGAAGGAGTGTGATTAATGTTATCACAGTGGTGTGATGTGAACAATTGGAACTGCAGCTTTGTATTTGAATTCTTCAATTTCTTTTGCAATTGCTTTACCACGTTGTCGAGAAGCCCATGAAAGGGCCAAGTTGGTGTTAATTGCCGTGCCAATAACATCACGGCAAAACTGACTAATCATTTTAAACGAATCGAACCGGACTTAGAACATTCCACTGACAACAACTTTTCACTTGAGTCTGATGATGACTTCCACTCAGGTTGTCGAAACGCCAGTGACCACCACCGACAACAGTCCTTCTCAGGACTACACCCACAGGAAATCAGACCTCACTATCACATTTTACCACCGAGTTCAAACCCTAATTTTCTGTATTAAGACGGAGCGGGTCGGTCGATTTCGCTTGACATACTGATTTCGCTCATTTCATTTGTGTTCTAAAACATTCATATCCTTGGATCAAAATCACAATCCGCTTGATCGGATCTCTTTATTTTCACCAATCTTACGGAAGTCAAAGTGTACTCGAGCGAACGCTTGTTATGGCGATTTTTAAAACCTTAATTTGACATGAAATAGGTCTTGAAAACCGTAGCAAATCGTCTTCACAAGTGTTCTTTCAGATGTCCTACAACGCCTGGCCCCAATATTCCCAAGAACGGCCGAAAGAGACATCTTACAGTGCTACATGCATACAAATAAATGCCAATATATATGTCAATTTGTAGAAACCCAAACACTTGAGATAACTGAAGATCCAGAGGAACAACGTGTCTCGATTGGTTCTGATGCTTCTTTTAGTTGCGCTGCTAAGGGTATTCCGCGGCCAACCATTGACTGGATTAAGGATAATGCGACACAAACCTTAAAGAACAACCCTAGAGCACGTGTTATTTCAACCAACCGAAGCCAAATTCGAAGCCAGCTGTTGATAACTAAAGTGGAGATGGAAGATCATGGCATATATCGGTGTATTGCAAAAAACCGCGACGGAAGCAGCCAGTCAGGAGTGGCTGTGTTGAGCATAGGTAAAATAAAAATCTTAAGGACTGCAACTGCAAGGACCTGATTTTTTAGATCAAAATCGCTAGGCTTGAATTTGAAAATCATTTTTTTTATTTTCTAAATTTCTATCCTTCACCGTCATCTTTTCCTTTTATTTTATCTTCATCCTCATCTACAAGTTGCCTTTACTATGATCATTATTGCTATCATCATCATTATATTACTATCATTATTCTACACAGTATCATCGTTATCACCATTATCACTTCTTGTCTTGTTTTTTTTTTTCATGTTAGACTATAGATTCCCGAGAAAATTATATTTCTTTTCTTAATTTTCCACGGCTACATTTTTCGCGCTAAGTGTTAATTTTCAATAGAAGTTTGTAATCCTAACGTTGACACGGTTTCGTTGATTGTCTTTACGACATTTTGTTTAAAATCCGTTACCAGAAGAACCCCAAGAAAATTCAACATCTCAGATGACAATTATCGTCGTATTATGGGCTGTGGTTGCTGCTCTTATCTGTGTAATCGTCTGGATTGTGTGGAATCGGCTCAAAAAACGTAGGAAACAGATAAATAATACGCGACGTCGTTGATACCGGTGTTCAAATTATTAGCGTTGAGACTGTTGAACCTTTCAGGATATTTACATCCTCACACAGGGCAGTTATCTTCTCGGTCCATCGTGGAAGGGAATTTTATATGTTAGTTATAGCCGTTAATGAACTTTAGACCCCAAAATCACACGCAGTACGCTTGGGCCGCCTGTGGGAAAACGCCCATTTCTTTCCCTACTTCTTCTTTTCTAAATTCCTCTTTCCTCCACTTTAGTTCTGTAAATATCTCATGCACAAGTTTACATATACTAAAATTTTAGTTTCTTTCCCAAGTCAAAAGTTAAACTTGATTTTTGGATACCACAAATACCTTTTCTCTTCAACGGAATTGCAGAGACGAAAAGAC